GGGTGTTGGGGTGTCAGGGTGGGGGTGTCAGGGTGGGGGGCTCTGTGCCTGCTGGCCCTCGTGCCAAGACCACCAGCCACCGCGTGGGGTTTGCCAGAGGGTGGCTGGGCTCAAGGGCCTGGCTGCGACGGTAAAGCCGGATCACAGTGAGATGGGGGCCATGGTCCGGGGACCGGACCCTGTGCCACCATGGGGAAGCGGGGCCAGTTGGGGTCAGAGCTCAGGGTGGGGAGGGCCAGCCAGGGAGCCCACAAACAGCCTCCGCCAGGTCCCCAGAGGTGATGTGGCACCAGAGGCGAGGTGGCACCAGAGGTGGGGTGGCACTGGTGCCACCGGGTGCTGTTGTCCGCAGGCAGGGACCTCACCCCACCGATTCCCCTCCTGGTGGGGTGCTCAGCACCCTCAGGGGACTTTTCCTTGGGACACCCCAGGGTGTGGGTTGGTGGGACGTGGCTCTTTGCAGGCTGGAGCCCGGTGTCACCGTCCCCGTGGGTACATGGCAGTGAGTCTGCCCTAACCCCACCCCAGCACCCCGGGGTGAGCTGGCACCCCCGGCCCCCTGCCACAGCCCGGGTGTGCAGCACCCTGAGCCACCTTAACCGGGTGCTCGGGCAGAAACCTCAGCACCAGCCGGACAAACCCACCGCGGCCAGCCCTGGCTTCCCTCCCCCGAGCCACCGGGCCGGGGGCACCCCTGCCTTCGGGGCACGGCGATCGGGGGAGGGGCCATCAGCCCCTTCGGAGCCGCCACCGGAGCTGGGACTGACCCAGGACCGGGCAAAGCCCACCCACCCTAAGCACCCACCAGTTCACTCAACCTTCTGGACCAGCCGGCGGGGCAAAGCAGTTCTGGGCTTTATTGGAGCTGCCACCGGCCGAAACGCCGCGTCCCCGGGGCTGCCGGCCGTGCCCGGGGGCTCTGGGCGGTGGTCGCGTCCCCTGGCCCTACCCGGCATCCCCGCTGTGTCCCCTGGCCTTGTCCCCGTTGCTCCCGGTTGCCGCAGGGAGGGTGGCACCCCATGGGGCTGGGGGCCGGTAGCCCCCCGGGAGCTGCCCGAGCAGGGGGGCAGGGGAAACCGCTGGCCCCTGCAAGAGGGTCCCGGGTCGCTCCGGGTTCCCGGCTTGGCCCCGGGCTTCTCCCCGCCCCCGGCCCGCTCCGGTCAGCGGGGCCCCGGGATGCTCGGGCTCGCAGTGCCCTCTTGTGACCGCGGGCACGGCGGCTGCGCCGCCCGCCCCCCCACCCCGTCCCGGGGCTGGGGGACCCCGAGGGTCTACGGGGAGGGGGTGGGTGGGGGGAAGCCACGTCCTGCAGCGGAGCACAGCATCGACTCATCGAATGGGACCTTCAAAGATCACCCGGTCCAACCCCTGCCCTGGGCAGGGACATCCCCCGCGGGGTCAGGGACATCCCCCCTGGGGTCGGGCTGCTCCGGCCGCATCCAGGGCCTTGAGGCCCCCCAGGGATGGGGCATCCGCAGCTCCTCTGGGTAACCTCCTGCAGCCTCTCACCGCCCTCACCGCAACACATTTCTTCCTTAGAGCCAGGCTAAATCCACCCTCTGCCAGTTTAAACCCATCACCCCTTCTGTCACTACAGGTTCTGGTGAAAAGCCTCTCTCCATCGTTCTTCTGAGCCCCCTTATATGTTGACAGGCTGCAGAAAGGTCTTCTCCAGGCTGAACAACCCCACATCTCCCAGCCTTTCTCCACAGGAGAGGTTCTTCCAGCCCCCTGGCCATTTCCGTGGTCCCCTCTGGACCCGCTCTGAATAGGTCCAGCTCTGCCTTGTGCAGGGACCCCAGAGCTGGATGAGTGCTCCAGGGGGGTCTCAAGCTGTGCCAGTGCAGGTGGCCGATGTGCCCTCAACCCATCTGCCACCTCTGGGGCACCCAGGGCTTTGGGGTTCCATGTCTCCCCCACAGCAGGAGGGACCCTGGTTCTTTCCTTTGTGCTTTTTTGATGATCTTCCATCTCCCCGCCAGATCACCCAGCTTCAGCAGAGCTTTCTCCTTTCTTGGGCAGTCCCCTCCACTGAGCAGGTCTTTGGGCTTCCCCACAGAGCTGGGGCATCCCCCATGCCCACAAAAGGGTCTCCGTGGGGTGGATCTGAGCACTCTCCACCCTGCGCTGTGGGAGAGTGATGGCAAGGGCACGGATGCTCCAGACTGGGCTGTGCCCGGAGGCAGAAACCCTCCTGGAAAGGGAAAAGGGGAACTCGGGGGGTCTGGAACTATGGAGGGCTGCTCAGAGGCTGGGGGTCCCCAGTCTCTCTTCATCCCGCTGCTCCACCCCCCATGGCTGCGTGGGGAGCTCTCCCACCCACCAGAGCACTCGCAGGAGATGCGGCTGTGGTAGGCACCCACCTAATCTTTAAAAAATAGCTGAGGAGCCTCGCCTCAACTCCTGGCCCAGCCCCGGGGCCGTGCGGGGATACCCCCAGCCCTTCCCC